AAGTTTTACAGTAGTAAAATGTTTATAATGGAATATCATTTTTACACATAGTAGGATGGATTTTTTTTACTTCCTGCATACTGTAAACACCACAATAACTAGACGAATAAAAACAGTTTAGTGTCAGTTACAATATTTTATCCAGAAAGGTTATAAGCCGCAGACACGAATACATATTTCCTCACATAGTGGTTTTATATTGTTGATAAATAGTTTTAGAGCACGCTAGATGTGTATCACTTGATCGAGGACAATAGCACTGACTGTGAAATAATTTGCTCTAAAACAAGCACAAAAGTAGTATTTTGACTTCTTTACAATATATTAAATCACTTTACACCCTACTAATCCACATAAGGCAACAGAAGCAAACGATGGTTATGGTAGTTGATCAATGAGAAAATTTAGGAAACGTTAACAGGACAATATGAATACAAATGGCGCCAAACGGGTGACGGCATCAGTAGATCAAAATTTAAATATACTTTGAATTTTAGCATGTTGGTGAGCTGACATATTATACCTTTGACGTTGTCGTTATTGTGAATAGATAGATATATATTGACAGCAACACAAATGGATCTTTATGAAAACAATTCAAATGTACACACAAAAAAGCACTTTAAGCAATAATTATTCAGCAGTGTACGTGGAGCTAAGCATAAGTTGTCGTTCAAGGATTCACGTGGAGCCGATGTCAATCACAACTAACTACATTCCGTTACTATCAAATTAACGATGATGGGCCTCTATGGAATGAAATAGAAAACCACTACTTCATCATTTTAACGGTTGCACACTTTCCGCTGCTAATTATCAAATATTGTGGCTTATAATCTAAATTCAATACGCAGGGAAAATTAAACTAAAAGAGCAACAATATTTCATTTTAGTAAACAAGATATATCAGTTAAAAATTTTCGTTAAACAAGATTTTGTATGCTAGGGCTTTCATTTCAGTGATCAGAACTTAACAATCTCAAAACCTTTGTTATGATGTTTTCATTGAATGGTCTTCATGTTTGTTCAGGTAAGCTATATTATTAGTTACTCTTATAAACTTTTGTTTAAAGTTTGTGCTTGACGTACACCTCCTTTTTAGTTCAGTATTCCTTCTTTTCTATATATATATATATATTTTTTTTTTTGCTTAAAGATGAATAGTATTTATGTCGCAGCAGCCATATGTGCTAATGTTTAAACATATATTATACACTAACTATAGTATCTAAACTATGGTGACGGGCCTCACTTTTTCGCTCATAACTTACAGCCACGAATGCGTACGGCAGATTTGAAATAAAGTTGCTGATGTGAAAACGTAACATCTGACTTTGTGAATATTTATTATTTTGCTTTCTCTGTGTGTTTTGCAGGTTTTTTACTTATATAAGTGTAATGATATATGTTCATTCTTCATTTTCTCATTCATCATTTGTTTCATGATTTTTTTTCAGTTTTGTAATATATGGAAAGCACTGCAGGTTTGAAAAACAGTTGTTGATATGAAAACATTACTTCTGACTTTGTGATTATTTATCATTTTGCTGTCACTGTGTGTTTTCCAGTCCCAACACAGAAGAGAACTTATAATATCCTTCGACCAATATGGAATGTAACATATATAATATAAACCCTCGTAAGATACTGTTACCCTCGAGTTACAGCATTTTCCTCGGGACGACATTTAACGGTTACTCACATACCCATGTGTCATTTATATGTCTATTGTATCATAGTTTGGGGACCTTTCTGTTGAAAAAGTGTCAGAGTTAAATCGTATACATATACATGCACAGTGCGGTAACTGGAGTGCGGGTATCAGTTACCCGCACTCCAGATAATGCCCGTTGATTGGTTCATTTTTGCTGGGGTTTACATATTGTGACGGCAGAGAAAGGGAAAGGGGCAGAAATATCATATTCAAATGCTCGTTCATTGGTTAATTTTTTCTGGGGTTTCATATTATGACAACAGGGAACGCGCTGTCATGTTTGACTATGATACAAAAGAGTAAGAACACCAAAACACTCGGCAATCTGATTAATACTCGGGGGCTACGCCCCCTCGTACAAATCAGATAGCCTCGTGTTTCGGTGCTCTTTCTATTACATATATTCTCGGTAGCTAGGCAAGCTACAAGTATATTAAATATAGTATATACGGAATGTCCACGTTCCGACAATGGTTTTATAACGCTCTGTCCCAACATATTTTAAAAAAAATGCAGTGTAAGAGGGACGTTAAATAGTGTGGTTTTACATCATTTAGTTTAAACAACATTCTTTTTGACAAACAAATGATACCGTTTCAACGGTTGAACTCTTTCGTTTTGTTATTATTATGACACATAATCTAAAAATATGCTTGACGCAGGGAAAATTACACGAAAAGAGTTATTTTAGTACAAAAGATATGTCAGTTATTTTTTTTCTTTAAACTGTATTTGTTTGCTAGGGCCTTGTTAATTTAACATTTTAAAAATAATGGAAGGTGTTTTTCAAACAATGTTAATGGTGATTTTATTGAAAGGTCTTTATTTCTGTTCAGGTAAGCTATATTTTAAGTTACTCTTATAAACCTGTGTTAAGAGTTTGCACCTCTTAATTATGTTTTTTTTGATTCTGGAACATTTTATTATTTGTTACATGTAAATAAATATATTTGATATTGTATCATATGTCTCACAACATAATAATTTAACTTCATGTATTTCGTGGTTTGTTCTAAATAGTCAATACTATCAAAATCATTATTTCTGACATTACTGTCAGATAAACATTACCGTACAATATACCTAGTAACAGTATTTTTCCATTCTTTCGAAAAGGTCATTGTGAGTTTAATTAAGTTGAAATATTAAGTAAGAAATGTTTTAAAGCATTGAAAGTTCTTATCACCAGAGGAAAGTAGCGCGAGATCATTAATTATTTGTCATAAAAGTAGCAAAATGTTAACGATGTAGTATTTTGATATCCATACAAAATATTTAAGTACTGAAACTGTGCTAATTGCTAAAAGGCATAAGAAGCAAAACATGATTCTGGGAATTGGCCAATGCAGTAACTATCTGGAAATTCTAACGCGGCATCAGATAAAAAGTATTTCTGAGGTATAATCGGCCTTTAAGCAGCATTAACACTATTGATATTTAACATCCGTGATTTCAGATTAATTTTTGAAATTTGTAACAAAAAGTCGCAATGGTTTAATAAAATATACGCGTCATAACTGCTAAATGTACTTAATGACGAAAATATTGACATACACCAGCTCAACATCTTAGAACCATTCTTAAAGTTCTTCTTTTTCTTGCTCATTTTTATGTCAAATGCAAAGACAATGCTTTCTAATAAAAAAATGGACTGTACAAATGTATGATTTTCATACAATGAGGGTAGTTTTCCGATAAGTATTACATTAAATAGGGGGTCGAACGTATAACGGTGCGATACTTCTTTAGGCGAATCGAAATCTTGCGATACGGACTAATGGCCTTACAAAATTTAAATGAAAAGGGGAATGAGCATGTTTTTTTCTCCAAATATTTGTTGTATATTGTTATTTCTTGAAGAAAAGTATTGTGCATGCTAATCAGAACTTAATATTGTATGTGATTGTCAAAATAAAAGATTATATTTTAAAGTATTTGTGAAGTTATTTAGGTATTCGTTGCTGCAAATTCAACTGTCAACCTGGTATACACATGCAAACAAATACAGTATCAGTAGTTTTAAAACGATATATTCGATTATTTTTAAGTCCCAGCATGTTTATTTTTGAAAACAAAACGATATGCATGAGAAGTTTTGTGTTTGTATGTTTATCATATGTAAACCACACTCTCAATAAAAACAAAAGTGTCAATTAATGTATTATACTTCGACACTGTAGTATAGTTAATTTTAGCAACATACGAGAAGTGGATCTACTATTGTATTATATGCACTGGTCGGAAAAAAACGCTTTCCATCCGCTCCCACGTTCATTCAATACCTTGAGAAGTTCATATAATAAAATGTGTTTCTGGCACTTTTATTATACAGGCTGGAAATTAGTCTTTCATTTGCCTAATTTTCTACATTCTGCCATACTCATTTGTTTCCTACTTTTTTACACATATTCCTACTATTCCTACTTTTGAATAAAAATGAAACTAAAACGTGTATATATCAACATGTAAAAGTTGCATAATGAAATATACTACATAATATTAAGACTGATTATTGGTTTTACTATTGCTAAGGTTCCTATGTAGTCATTTAACACGCATCTGTGACCTCTTATGCAAGCTAATGCCTTTCTAAATGTGTGTGAACTGCTGTATGTTCTTGCCTTAGTGGCAAGTTGGAGTTAAAAAGCATTTTGCAATTTAATGTTGCATTTTATGTGAATGATGTGCGCTGTAGAATTTCTATATGCCTAAATAATGTGCAAACTACGGGGGTGGTTTATGCACCTATCGATAGGTGTGGTAGGAATACTAGGATTAGGATACCTTTATTTTAAATATTTAAAATTTCATATGAAAATAAAAAGAAAAAGAAAAATTAATCACAAACAAGATGCAGTACAAAATAACAACTGTTACAAGATTCTTATTGTTAGAAAGGGCGATAACATTTTGAATGAAAATAAAGTAACTATGAACCTTGCCAGAAATTGAGTGATGACAAGAAACATAATTATCTAAGATATAAGAGTGAAAGTTACTTTTTCCACTCCTAAGTATCACAGGTAGATATCTAATTATTAAAATTTAGTTCAAAAAGTAACACTTACTCAGATGGTGATACGAGCCTTATTTGAAGTATCTTTTTTCTGAAATCCGGAAACAGACACATATATGGTACCCATCTCAGTATAATCATAGGAAATCATGTACAACAGATGTGATGATGAAAATGTATCAAACCTTTAACAGCGTTCAGTTATTTTATGCCACAAAAACGAGCGTACACTTAAATATTTTTACCTGAAAGCGTCTATGTATATCGGAGCACAAAGGTACTTGCTATGCAACTCAATTATGATTACCCTTATAGAATAAAGAAGGAACATAAATTAATTATAAGCTTGCATTTAGCGATTTCATTTACCAACACAAAATCAATTGCTGTCAGTTTACCTTCAATCACTTTTTTATTATGAATTTATGCCTCTATAATTTTGATAAAATGTGTGTCAGTCCTATCGTAACGTTTTCAATACAAAATATGCAATTGTTATCGAAGATTTATGACGTAATTAGTAAAATAAACTCACTCTGACGTGTGTTTACACTAATTAATCAGTCGAATTGTCACCATCGTTATGTCGTCACTGTCACCATCGTACTGTCGTTCCTATTCAACATCATACTGCCGTACTGTCACCAGCGTATTGTCACTATCATACTGTCGTAATGTCGTACTGTCACCATAGTACTGCCGCACTGTCGACATTTCGCCTTCCTGTTAGGTATGTGCATAATGAAATGAAAACATTCCAATATCAACAAGTCTAATTTAACAAAGGCTGTAACAAACGTAAATTCTTGTACTGATTTATTGGTGAGAGTAGTTTGAAACTGTTAATGATATTTTATGAAAATACTATATTTGACAAATAAGCTAATTACACCATGTCTAGATTACGCTAAGTATGAAAACACTGGTGTACATTTTTATCATAAAACTTATTTATGTAGATAGATTTTGATTCTTTTAAGTTCCGATTTTCCTTGATAATTAATCTAATAGAGTATGTTTTATAAAATGCCTGTTTAAATCCTTAGTTTCGGAAGCCATGTTGAGTAAAAGTTTGCACATGCTCGACAGGAAGGGCACAGAACGATGGTGACTGATCGACAATACGATTGTGACAGTATGGCAGCACAATTGGGACAAAATGACAGTATTATAGGCTGTCACCATCGTGCGGTCGTGTTTCTCCGTCGTACTGTCCTATTGTCACTATCGTTTCGTCGTATTGTCATAATCGAATTGTCATGTTTCGCACTTTCCGTTCTCAGAGAAAAGCGCTGGCCGTAACGGAACACCATAAAGAAACACACCGTTTTACCGGCTCGAGTGATATGAGATAGTTGCAGTGTATGTTGGGCTCCAGTGTTGAGAGATAGGTGCAGCCTATTACGGGGCCACAGTGATGCGAAAAAGCTGCATTGTATTACGGGCGCCAAAGTGATGCGAGATAGCTGCAGTGTAATTCAAGCTCCAGGGTTGCAAGATTGGTGCAGCCTATTACGGGCGCCACAGTGATGCGAGATAGCTGCATTGTATTACGGACGCCAGTGATGCAAGAAAGCTGCATTTCATTTCGGGCGCCACAGTGATTCGAGATAGCTGCATTGTATGACGGGTGACAGTGATGCAAGGTTGTTGCAGTGTATAACACGTGCCAGTGATGCATGATAGCGAGGTGCGGAGCGAAATCACAGTACTAAGCATGGTCGCGGGGCAATATTTAAGAAATAAAATGAAGAGGGCTTCGCCCGCGCCCAAGCTAAAAAGCGTATTTTTGCTCCGCGCCACCGCCATTTTAACTTTTCTATTTTAGACTTTTCTCTTGGCGTGGTCACGGGGCAAACCAAGGATAGCACGAATCAGCCATCATATATTTGTGTGTTTGTGTGTTAGATGAAAGCTTTAATTTCATTTGTGAGCTTCACAAAAAGTATTCTCGCGAGTGGCTTACCATTGACGCTGCATTACATGTTTTCCTAATAGGCTATGTCCGGAAATTAACATAAAATGTATTAAAGTTATTTTTAATAAAACTACAAAACTATAAAATATAAGCGGAAGGAGTTTTTTCTGTTCCATTATGTATGTCTACAAAGCTTTTTTAAAGCTGCATGGCTACCGATGACCCAGATGTTTAAAGAATATCATACTTGATCAAAATATACTAGGATCGAACGAAAAATAAAATCAATTTAAAATTTAAGTAGTAATTTACATGTCATGTGCGATTAAGAACTGATTCTTAAGCACTTACAACGGTAGCTATATTTCTACTGTGTAACTAAAGCAGAATAGGTTATTTCTGCATGTTTTTTACTGTTCTTTTTTAAATTATATCTTTGTTTACTTCAAAATACGTTTGAATACAATCTATTCTTTTTTATAATAGCAGTAGTCTGGAGGCTTCCTGCTTTAACAAAACAGAAGCAAACCGGAAGCAATGAGAAATCTAATTTCTAATTTAATCATATTTCAGGAGACTGTGAAACAGGCTGGAGGGGTCTAAATAGTTCCTGTTATTATCTTAATAAAAACAAACTGAGTTGGACAGATTCTAGGGTAAGAATGATTATGTTATATATTGCTGCAGTATTTATCACCATATTTCTACCGCGTGACTAACACAAACAGGACATTTTTGTATATCTAATTAAACCTTTTTTTATAATTCACGTGTATTATAAGTGTCGTTTGCAATGTGTATATTACTTTGATGTTAACTTCACAATTCGTATATATTTCATTTATTATTTAGAAACATGAACGAACAAGTCAAACTTGCATTTCTTTCTTGTTATAGATCCGTAAGGAGTTTACTTGCAAAGTCTTAATTAACCTTATTACCAATACAGTTTGCTTTTCCATGTTAAAAATATTATCGCTGAAGTCTGCAATAATCAATAGCATCTTGGTTCTTTGTGATAGGAGACCATCATTTTAGACCCTATAAGTAAATGGAATAAAGAGTGTAATATTTATGTTTTTTTTTTTCTTTAACAAAGAAATGGTGTTTCGAGAGGAGCAGTTATCTGGTAGAGGTAGAAAGTGATCTTGAAAACAATTTCCTGCAAAAAATTGCTTCTGATGCAGGATACGATTGTAAGTTTCTTCTCACTACCTTCTGTTCGTTCAGTGTATTTTGCTGCTTTCAAGCCGATAGAGAAATTATATTTAGTGATATGCTCATCCTTGAATAAAATATTTTCATTGCAAACAATTCATTAATTTCTACAAACTTCGCACTGAGTATGTCTAATATACATAGCAGAACGTACACACTATATATGGGACTTTGCGTTCCTTATTACGGGTCAATTAAAGCTGGTGCTTTTTTTTAACAAAATTAACTATTTTTAAGGACACTGTATATTCATAAATTGTCTACATAGTGCTTTAGATTTATGCCATAACATAATCGACTGTGTAGCTATCAATATTTCAAAAAATAAGAAATGAGCAGAATATAGCTTTAAGATTTATCGTAGTAATAAAAATAACCACAATGCTATCATTGATAACTTATCTTAACATTTATTTACAAACATGTATTTGAGTTTAAATGATGTCTAAACTGGGATTCGAGCTCTTTGTTACAATCTCCATAAAGCCTGAATGCACCAAACACGAAAGCAAAAGCCAAGTTTTCACTCAAATTATGTTCTGTTCTGTTTATTAAAAACTACAGTACAAGGAATATAGCATGTAGCGATAGTATAAAACGAAATCCATTTTGTTTAGACCTGAAGAAATCGTAACTGTTCTCACAAATTTAATTATTGATACGTTTAAATGTTAATCAAAACAACGCAGGTATATATAACTACAACAACTACAATAAATATAATTATTATTATTTTATTGTAACTATTATCATTATTATATTAATTATAATTATTTTTGTTATTACATGTACGGTGTATTTTAATTTTTATAACATATTTGGCAATTTTGAAAAGAAAACTTAAAAAAGCAGCAAAATAAATATAATTTTAACGCCAGTTGAAAACAATTAATTAATACCAAATAAGAAAAGTTTGTATTTCTGTATAAATTATAATGAAGACTACTAATAGAGAAAAAAATGACATGGTCTGTCAAAATATTTCTGGCACTTTATAGTTATTGTGCAGTTATTGACATACAACTTGGCTCGTGAATACATGAAGTTGAAATCGTGAATTTGTGTATTCTGTAAGCTGGTAACTTGTAGTTAGAATTGAGAATTCACAAAGATCAAGTCAAAATACTTAATTTCAAATGCATTGTTTGCAGGCCACAATTATCACATAGGTTTATATAAACACGATGCAGATGATACATGGAAATGGAACACCAGTGGAAACTCTGTAAAGTACAGATCGTGGTATAAAGATCAACCAAGTGGCGACGGACGGTGTGTGCAATACGCTGGGAACCTGTATCAGTGGAACGATGTCCCGTGTCGCATAAATCATTGCTTCATATGTGAAAGAACTCAGGCTGGTAAAATGAATTTAGAATATAGTCAAATAGTAGCAAATGTCAAATTTTATAGGCTCAGTGAGGTTGTTACTGTGATCATTAACACACACACACATTCATTTAATCTCAATATACTCTTTCCTAAAAAATCTCTCTAATTGTCCATCCATCCATCCATCCATCCTGCATTAATTTTTATTTTTTGAACATGATGGGGCAAAAATAAATAATGATAAATAATAGTATTCAGTGTGCAAGACGAGCATTATATAATAAGCGTTTAAACATTTTTGCTAAAAACGTGCTATTGATTTAACTTGAATTGTTTTACAAAATGATTGATTTTGTGTATTAATAATCATTATTATTATTATTATTTGTTGTGTAGTTTCGCCGTAGTAGATATGTATACAGCTTCGTAGATACATTTCAATACATGTCAGTCAAATAATGGTCGAATAAAATTTGTTTGTTTGTTCGATGTTTTCTATTGTTATCCAAAATTTAGAAATTGATAAACTAGCCTTTATTTTAGACAGTTGTTCACCCAACCCATGTTTAAATCAAGGGACATGTGTGCAAGAACTGTTGAACTATACATGTGAATGTCCGCCAGGAATTTCTGGTAAAAACTGCGAGAAAGGTATCTAACAGTTATTACTCCATCTTTAATGTAGCTACAATAGCTTTCTTTTTCAGGAATAACTGCCAAAGGAGCTTTTAATAATAAGCGCTGTTAAACGCTAGAATAGTATAAATTTTACAGACAAATTGTTTTATGCCCGCCTATGTTTCTACCAAATTATTGGTCCCTACTTGGTACCAATGGACATATCCAGTGCAGTTGTATGCAAGAAAAAATATGTTACTGGCTATCCAATTGCTTCTATTGGATAACACATAGGAACGCATGTGAGAACACATAGTAACACAGGTAAAACTGTATTTGAGCAATTGACCGAGTTACTAATATAAAAAGCGGGGTCATTTTTTTTTCGCAGTTTAAAACTTGAAAGGTCCATTGGACAGCCAATCAGTAAATTTACATTGTACAGTAACAGTAAATACATGAAAATTTCATTCCGATAAATGTCTAATTTTACTCATGCCTTTTTTAAGAAATCGAGTATGGTAATATCTTAAATGCAAGTCATTAATATCGTTTTGATTTGATTTTGGTATCGTTTGGAACTTTATTACCAATCGATTTAACTTAAATGACTAAAATTCCTTAAAATACTATAGCATGTAACTAGTTGTCTCTCAATAGACATGTACCTATATACCTTCAATTATTTAATGAATTTCAAGTATCGAATATTAATGATTAAATTATAGGAAATTTAGAAAAAAATGTCAACAATGGCTCATTTTTCATAAATATTTCAAATATGCATAAAACAACAGAAATTTGTTATTTGAATATTCTTAGAAAATATTTCAGAAAATGATGAGAGAGTTTTAAAGTGATATTGTATGAACACATACATGTACCTGCATTTGATGAAAAATAACATTTTGTTCTAGAACATTTTATTACCTGTTATATATTTAATTGTCATTTTGTATCAAGCACTTACCAACAACTTATATTTTTTATTCTTCGGTATGTTTCCAAATATGATACTGAATATTGTCAAAACAAATACTGATCATCTATCATAGACCAATTGCATTTAATAATAAAAAAAAAACGTATTTCTTTTTTTAAAAAAACTATAAAATCAGTGACTATGAATACAAATTACGCAATAGTGAATACAATTTCAGTGGTTCTGGATTGTAGCCTAAGCCCCTGTCGAAATGGAGGCACCTGCATTCAGGCATTGGATTCTGACGTTTGCGTGTGTAAACCGGGGTTCACTGGGGCCAACTGTGAATATGGTACGTTTTTTTTGTTGCTTATAACTCATGAATATATTTTGGATTTATTCTGCCATAGTATTTAAAATTCACATATATTGTCACTGATTAATAAAAATATGATTTCTTTATGTCCGCCTAGTAGCATTTTCTTTTCAGTCCTATATCATTTGAACCGATGAAAGCACATAAATATTGTTGTCAGAAATGTTACTAATCATTAGCCAATGTGCTGTGCAGAGCTCAGGATAAACCTTCTTTGGATCAAGATGAGCCCCGCCGCCGGAGTTGCATGATGTATATAGACTTAAAAAACAACAACAAAAAACAAAGAAATAAAATAAACAAACAAAAAACAAACAAAAAACATATATTTAAGTCCTATTGTATGTCTCAGGCTTAGATATTTGACATGTTGTTTTTTTTTTCTGGTAAAAATTGCCCTTTGGGTCAATATCGGCCCAGTCTCAGCCGGGGGTCATTTTTTTCATATCGACATTTACAGGGTAGAGAAATACATTCAATGCTTATTGTGCCGGGCGTTAGTCATTGTGTATAAAATATGTATCTTGTTTATTGGTATGTTTTGTACACCAGTTAGTCTTGTTTTACAAGTTTTAGTGAGGAAAACGACGCATTCGTTAGGAGCCCCAAGTCAAATAATCTTGTAAAAATGAATTTTGGTCACTATTAATTTAATAAACACTTATGGACATGCTTATCTCTTAAATGAATTGGGTCATGCTTTTTCCAAAAGATCCCTTTGACCGACAGTGATGTTTTTGTCTTGCCAAGCTAAAACCTTATACCTGGAATGACGTTGACATTGCAATATGATTATGTCAAATCTCCCGATTATCATTACTTTTTTGTGCTGCAAAATGAAAAACAAAAATGAAGGAAGTATAAGAAAAGTTGCATAATTACGCTTATATAAGTATATTTATAAATCTGAAACTGTTATGTTTGAAAGGCGAATGTACCATGGATCTGTGCCACAATGGAGGAACATGCATATCAACAGTGGATAACTACACGTGCGCATGTGCGAATGGATATACTGGAAACACATGTGAGGGTAAATATCTAAAATATAGTCACAAAAATGTATACATCTGTAGAACATAAGAAAAAAAGGGATAATAAAACGTTATTGAAATATTTGTTTTCTGTTCCAAAACAACTATCAAGTTTATCAAGCGCGACTTATCCAGAATATAAATTGTCCGCATGTATAAAATCCTATGATCGATACAATACCTTAGCGTGATGGCTTGATTGGTTGAACCAAAAAGCGTTATTGAATCATATGCCCCAATTGTTGCTTGCGCGTGAACATACAAAATATTAATTTAGTGACTTTACATAATTCAGAATAAATCCAGTACTGCTAAGAACTTTGATTCAATCTGCAGTAGAAGAACAGTGGATTAAAAATGCACGTATTGTCTTAGTTTAACGATGAATGCGTTCTTTTGAAAAAGATAAAGAAATCATGTTAGTTCCCTATAGTTAACAATAAAATTTAGAAAATATTTATATATGGTTTGGTCGTAATTCAAACAAGTACAGTAAACTTCACTTACAGCGAACACGGTTATAGCGGTTATAAGGAATAATTTATTTTGGCCCGAGTGTTGCCCTTCTTTATTTCATATAAAATATTCGTTATAGCGAACACTGTTATTATCACTTATAAGTAGCTCATGTCTTAGTCCCATTGAAGTAAAAAGTACAGAAAATTACACTTTTATAACGAACTCCAAGATATCGGCTATCCTTAAATAGATCATCGTTCTCGTATATTGTTGTATATTCTTCAAGACATTTATTAAAATGAATTTGTATAGCAGTACGTTAAGGCTTTCAATTTGGAATGATTTTAGCACCTAGATAAAACGGTTATAATGATACCTTTTATTCTATTATTTCTTTTCTTGACTAGTTTTGCACTAGTAAAATAATTATGATTATTTTTAATCGGTTTTTAACATAATCACGCATGCTTGGAAGCATAATCCATTGACAATTACAAAGAACGCTTGATTAATATAAAAGAAATCTATATCTTTCACAAGTAAAAGTCACCCTTAAAATAGAAGATATTCAATAAAGAAAGGAAGGAAAAAGGAAGGAAAAATCGAAAGTCTTGTTTATTCTTAATCATGGAAAGAAACGAAAATCACTGTGTTCAGAAACAAAATATGATATTTTATAGGAAATTGAGAAAGGGAGTAAAACTAAAACTGAAATAGCAAAGGATTTTGAAATTCCAAACAGTACGCCCTTGGGTATTATGCCTCAAGGAGAAATAAATGAATATTTGTTCTTAATCAAATGCTACGATGGTAAAGAATCAGTTCGTTATATGTACATTTGTTCGCTATAAAAAAACCCTGATACAAGAAACTAATTCGATATATGCTTACAAGAAACTCCGGATATAAGAAACAGATTTTGAATGTCCCGATGAGTTCGTTATATGTCATGGTTTAAAAAACATGTGTTCTCTGATTCACAGTACAGCTGCAATTAACATTATTGTCATGTTCTACTTTTTGAAACTTTTAAATTACTTGAATAACATAGTTGACAAATTCACGGAACCATTTCTTGCATAGGAATGACAGTGGATAAAATGTTTTTCTGCTTAATTTCAGGGATAGATCATTGCTTATCCGACCCATGTAAGAATAATGGTATTTGTTTAAGTGGTAACAGTGGGTTTGAATGCGCATGCGTAACCGGCTATGAAGGCACACTGTGTACAAACAGTGCTTGTATAGGTACACATGTTTTTTTTACATTTTATGGTTTAGATTTCCATCTTCTGTTCAAACAGTCTGCGTACTGCTGTTTTGTTTAAACAATATGATATTAATAAAATTAACTAAATAAATGCAATATGATTTCTAGGTTTTAAACGCACACAATATTTTCTTTATGTAACCACAACATCCTCTCTCTACGTATATGTTATTTGTAACAGTAGTTTATTTTTTATACATATTTTGTGAATTTGAATCGCACTTACTAGTGCGTAATATCATTCAAATTATGTCAGCTTTGTTTGTTGTTGACGTTTCTTTCTTTCTACTTTTTTAATGCCTGATATTTTATCATTTCAGTGTGTTGCTTTCAAAGAGTGTTATTGGCCCTTGTTATAAAGACAGTGTTGCAAAATTACATATAATGAGAGTGTTGCAAAATTACACGCGCTTATTTAATCAATCAAGAAGCTTGGAAATTTACTAAATTATTTACAAGATGTACATTATATTCCAACATATCAGTTTTGCAGGGTATCAGTGACATTTGTCCATATTTTTATTCATGTGATTGAACAGTTTAACTTGCATCAAATGACAAATATAATTGTTACATAACTGTTACATCATTGCAAATCTGTTGTAGAGAAACAGCAAAGAATATGAGCTGCATTAACTTACATATTATTATTTCTTTTCAAAAGTGCTTCGTTTAAAAATTTCGATACATACAGTTAAGATGATTGTTTCCTACTTGACATTAAGCTATAAAATTTAAATGGCCATGCTGTGGTTGGAAAATGTTCCTTGCAAATTTCAGAATAATGTGTACAGTCAGACTAAAAGAAAAAGTTATTCACTTTCAACAACATGCATTGTACAGTTTTCACACAATCTATCCTATCTACACTTCGATAACGGCCGGTTTCTAGAGCTAGATTATGACTGCTTAACCTAAAGGATGCAAACAGTTTCACTAATTTGTCTCTTTTTATTTTATTAATATGCGTGACAATGTAGGATAAAAGTGTACATCTGCATTAGAATTACCCTGTACAACATTTAAACCAAGATTATACAATAGCTTTTTTTTATAGATAGAGCCCAATGTTGATTATTATTACTATCATGACACTCAATAGAAAATAACTTTTAGAGATTATTCTTGGCAAATAACTGATAAAGGCAATCTCTCTAATTCACCTCAAACAGCGTAATTTGAAGTCTGCGATTTAGGAAGTTAGCTGTATGGAATTTACCTTGTTGCTATAAGTCAATGTATTATTTATTGTTTAGTAACATTCGTTCATCTTATATTCATTTCAAGTTGTGTATAATATTTTGGGCCCTATGAATCAGATCTGTGCCAGCATCTATCTTTACAAACCAAACTGAACTTCTGTTTATATGACCGTTAAATAAATACATGTATTTACAAAATATATCACTACAGAAAGATGTTTCTACTTTACTATTTTATTGTGTATATAAATAGAAATACTTCTGCAAACAATGAAATATATATACTCTTTTTTATAAGTAATCTCATCTATACATATTTAAAACATAGACAAATATACAACGAAAACAATGTATAGCCATATTAGACACGTCATGTACGTCCTAATTCTTTTATTTTCACCAACTTTAGATAACAAGTTGGCGAGCATCCTTTTATGTGCGTGAGGCATTTAACTTCCTGATGAAATATTTTAATATTTCAAATGGAAACTGAAACCGTAGAGAATAAAAACTGTTAAAGACAACATTTATTTTCTTCAACATTGACATAATACGCATTAAAAATATTTTAAAGGACCTAAATGATCGTTCGATACTACATCTTAGCTGATAAATACGATAACATTTAGTTACACTAAATCATTTAAACTGTTGTGTTTGTATTAAAGCCATACAGATCATTTTAAAGCAATTTTTTTCTTGATTGTATCTCATGTTAAGTTATGATGAAACAAAAGAACAATAACAAAGAAAAAACTTGTTAAGCATTTTTTATTACAATACAGAGACACCTGGCTATGTTTTGTTTTTCTAATAGTAAATAACTTTTGAACTTAAAATTTTCAAGGTTAGACTTCGTGCAATTTTCTTACAATTAATACATGTACTTGATGCTATTTTCATTACTATAGATAAAGACAATAGAAGTACAATTAGTTTAGATGTCCGCTAAATCCCTTATTTTAGCATATGTAGCTATATTTTATCTCTGGCGATCCTTCGGCCAAAGACCTGCACTTTGATAAGCTCGAGAAATAACGCCTTCCGTGTTTCTTGCACTTTGTCTGGATATTGGTCACTAATACGATAATCAGTATTGTTCAACAACATTCTAGCTTGTTGTTTCACCAAAGCTTTTATATTGTGGGTGACTGCATTTAACTACAATGGGGCGTGTTTTGATTGACAGAAATTTCCCTATTCTAGAGCAAGATCAAATGTTATGTTTTTCTTAGCATCTGACATTTTTAAATTATTTTCACAAATGTTGAGAATTTCAACAGTTTTCATCTCGTCTGTTGTTAGCTAGGGTATCCTCTGGAATGTTAAAGAACAACAAATTGTCCCTCATCGATCGTACTTGCAATTCTACAATAGCATCTCCTTATTTTGAGTTGCTTTGTTTTAAATAATTCAGTTCACCTTGCATGCTACTACATCTTTGTTTTTCATCGCAGAAAAAGTGTCTACATATTTATGTTGAGAACTGATCCTGCACATGTGGATCAAATGACTTGTTTGTTTCAAGTTCCATTATTGTTTTATTCGAATCAGACATTTTGGATTCAAAAGTAGTGATTCTATGATTCATTGAAGATATTTTATAGTTAACAACAGACGAAAAAGCAAAATGTAAATTTGAAGTATGTGGCAAAGAACTATTGAAGCGATTTAAACACGTTACGTGTAGTTTATGCACGTGAGAATAACATAACCAAAAGTAGTGCACTGTTACTCTCTCGTGATCATAAAATAAGTTGGCGTTGTTTTTTTTTTCGATCTGATAAAATTATTGAAATTATCATGTTTCGAGGGAAAATAAAGATATTTGTAACTGAAATGAGTGTTATGTAGACGTTTATGCTATGAAGTAAAATGTCAAAAGAAACAAGCAGTATCTTTTAAAAAAGATACTCGGCCAATGTAAAACTGGTTGGCTTTGATATGTCAATTCTTAGGTTTTCATGCAAAGTCATATTGAAATGTTAGTATGGCTTGCATAACAATAAGATAATAATTTATTGTAGGGTTATTAATCTTAAAAATTGGAACAATTTATAAGTATGTGTTTCTGTGATTCGGTAAGTGAGTTCAACATCAACACCAATATCTACAAGTCAGTAAGGCAATTATTTTTATAAATACTTGATTGATATGCAAAAATATATAAAAATATAAATATGATTTCAATTGAACAGATCAATAATCATATAATATATTAGAAACTAGAAACTTATTAAACATCATAAACTAAGAACACCTGATTAGTTCTGAGATCTTTTTTTTTTTTTTTTTTTTTTTTTGGAACAAAATTTAAAACTCAAGTCTTGTGTAAAATAAATTTGTGTAAGTAATTAAGTAAAATAAATTGTTTACTATAAAAATGTTATGCGATCTGGATGCAAAAAGTATTTTAAATAGAACTTAAATATCTGAGCAATTGAACTAGAAAGTTTATTGACTATCCTCTACACTTTTTATTTATTTTAGAATTATCCTTTACTTTTTATGTCATCGGCAATAACTATACTTTACATTTTAGAATCAGAAGAACTATCATTTACATTTTATTTTTGAATTTCCAATAAAGTTATAGTGTTGAAATGCTATCCTTTTTTATCAGAATGAAACAATGTAAACTACATTGAACTTTATTAAGATTAATTCAGACTTTCTCAAAATTATGTTTCTTCATGAGTGAATATAGATATTACATTAATTCATGTTAGTTATGGTCAATTATAGAATTGAGATCATTTTCAGTATGCTCATTATAAACAACATAATAAATTTTATTTCGTAAGCTACCAATCCTCGTTCACAACCGTTACGAAGAATTTGACAGAAAAGAAATAATAAGCAAATTAAATTTCTTTTAGCAGGCAGTCACACGATTGAGCAACAAACGAGCAGAAGGCGAATGGTAAGACGTGCGCTTAGGGATCGAGTGGTCCTGGGTTCGAACCCCACCAGGGGTACTGCTATTTTCCTTGAGCAAGAAATTTACCTGCGATTGCTTCACTTCACCCAGGTGTAAATGGGTACCTGCGAGGGTGGTATAATTCCGTTGCGCCAAATTGTCGGCTGCACTAAGCGGAGTTAAAAGACTCCCCAGGGAGATTGATAGATAGATACTAGTAGCCTGATGACCAGGGGTAATAGCTGTAAAGTCGGTGAACGTGCGTTAGCATGAAACTTAAACTATAAAATGCAATTACTTTTTATTTTTTACAATATCTACATGAGGGACATACAAAGGAAATCGCGGCATCATTCGTCTGCCTTATTCGTAAATGGCATCTACTCTCAAACTGTGAAAACAACGATAATAGCTTGTCGAATACACATTTTATCCGAATTAACAACAATTTGTGGCATTGTTCCATCTGTAGATTTGAGTGACGCAGCAAAAGTATAGAAAAAAGATAGCGCTTACTCACATCACTCAAAATTGCAGATTGTGGTCAACCATTATAGTGAATACCATCATGAATATCTCTTACGGCAATTCAAATCCGGATGCAACGGTAGCTATCTGCAATTTACATGTATTTTTGCTGTTTTTAATGCTTCAGAGGGATCACTTTTGTCGATAATTAAGAGGTATCATACGTATCATATTATGGAACACATCTATAAGAAGAGGATCAGAGTCTTTATTTAATCGTCGTAGGCATAAAGTCCGAGTGTTTCTTTCAGACTTATGAAAAGTTCCGACAATCAGTCTAGGGAAATGCAAAAAATGGGAATGTTCTACAACTGTTTCAAGAAAGATTTTAAGTGCTGATTAAGCAATTAAATTTCACCTTTTTAGTTACACTTCTCTGCTTACAATATATATCAAACCATTGACTCTGTATTATACACATTGACACTTTAAACAGAAATATATGCAAACATTGTTAAGAAGAATACTTTGGAAATAAATGGAAAATCGTTTTTTTTACTATTTTAAGCCCGATTGATGAAAAGCGTTTAAACGCTTTTCATTTTGGCAGTTTTTTTACAATTTGAATAATTGTTCTGGAAAAACGAAGTGCGCGAATGATCTGAAATTTTAAACAAAGATTAGTGGTCTTAACCAACATCAAATGGTAGATTTATCTGAAAAAAAATATTTTCAGTCTATCATGTCAAAAACACATCAATGTAGTCACTTTGAGATTATATTTCAATACAATACAGGAAGAAGATGTTTAAAACTAAACAATAAAAACTTAATCGTCACCAAATCCTACAAAATAACACCATAAAAATCACCGAGTTACAAAACGTCAGATAAATTATAAACAGTCAATAGGCATGTAAAGTACACGTAACTCTATACATGCGCACTGAAAACGAAAAAGAAGAGCAAACAAACAGGAAGTTATTATACATTGTATTGACCAGGATTAAGATTTCAGAAGCCGATGTTTATAGTGGTCAACAGGTTTATGAAACGACTCAAAACAGGTAAAATTTAAGTTCTTTTATCAAAGTTTCTTAAAC